TTCCCCACTTTGTGTCTGGTGAAGCCTCTCACCGCCCCTGAACCTCTGGCCTGTACCCCGTTCTGTATGCACAAATAAATAAATCTTTAAAAAAAAAACAATTAAAACTACAAAGATTGTGGCCTGAATGTGATGAGGTCAACTGTAGAGCTCAGAAAATGCTGGCTATTAAGACAACCTGGAGGAGATAAGAGAAAGGGCAAAGTAATCCAATTCTAAATACCATCTTTTACTTAGTATGAAGACAATAAAATCCCAAGGTTTTGTTTACTTCATTGGTTGCAACTGGTCTTAAGGGAGGGAAATTAACTTGTGCCATCAAAAAAAGGAAAACACTCAGTTTATAGTCCATATATAAGTAGGCCTAAGGTCACTGCATAGAAGTCATTGCCAACCCCTTGTCTATGACACACTAATGCGTCATCTGTAGTTTATCATTAAATAGTGGGATTATGTCATTTACTTTTTATCTCAAATATGTAATTTGTATCAAGCACACCTAATATATGAGCAGTTGAATATGCCAGCCTTAAAGATTGCAAATAACAGTGACATAGTAGTAACACTCATCACCAAAACTACCCTAGAAAACAAATCTGTAGAAACCAAGATTTACCAGCATTTCAGAATGTACTGTAGCACCAGACAACTCTCTTTACTCATTCCTTTCCTCATATTCATAAATTTACCAGTTACCTACATCTATTTACTTTATATTCACCAGGTCAACTCATTAATCTTTTTGTGTCAGGTGAAGTTGCCTATGACCATACCAGCTCACTATACTCCTATAAAATGGCTTTGATCATATTACTTCTTTTGTTCAAGTTTCTCACAAGTGAGCCTAACCTCATTTCTAGACTTCTGAATCACTCCCCTACATCAGGAATCATGAACTCCTTTTAAGAGATCTTCCCTATTGTCCTCTGAATAAGCCCTACTGTCTCGTTCTAGTTTTTTACTATTTCACATTATTTGAATTAAGATTCTGTCTTTAGATGTAGTGTCAGGCTGGAAAATGAGTGATACAGATTAAGTCTTCAGTGTAAGTCTCCAATATATGTAAATGCTAAAGGAGTGTAAGAATTCACATATAGAATTTATCGGCACTATTATTGTACTCAAAAGCACTAACGCTATTAATAGCACTAGAACATTGGGTACATGTTTTCAATGATATTTAAAGTCTGAGCACAGGACAGTAAAACTATAGGTAAGTGAACTACATAGTTCAGTTCTTACAGGCAAACTAAATTAGCGCTGTCTACACAATAGTGTTACTTATTTTACTCAACACCTCTAGAGAGAAATGACTGGTAAAGTGTGACCATTTCATCACAACGTCAAAGAAATTTGTAAAAGATTAAATGTTATTTCTGGGATTCATCCGTACTTCAAAATAAAGGGGGAGGGGGCAGCAAGGCTGGCCATGCGCTGCTAATTGTTGAAAATGGGTGATGAGTACACAAAATTCTTTATACTACCCTTCCGACCTCTGTGTAGCTTCAAGATTCCCACTTTTTATTTTATTCTTTTTATGTCCAAAGGGCTATCTTTCCCCTAAAGCTTTATATTGTAAACGCTGGTTATGGTCAGGAAGACACACTGGGAAGTACTGGGAAGCGAAAAGGGACAGCGCCACCCAGGTGACGCTAGTTAAACCTCCCAGGTGACCAGTAAATTCGCTCCTCCCCCAGAAACCCCGAGGCCAGGCCCCGAGGTACACGGGCGGGGTCCCGCCCACCTAGTCCCGGGAAAAGGGGCGACACCCACGGGAACCGTCGCTAAGAGCTGACTCCCTAGGACCGCCGCCTGGCGGCCCGCGCGCCAACTGCGGGCTCCTAGGAATGGGCCAGCGGGGAGTGGGGCAGGTTTGGGGTAGACGGGTGAGTAGGCAAACCCCAGCCTTTAGAGAGAGTCCGCCGACTTACTCACGCTCCGCCAGAGCCCCGGCCACACCAGGGCCCTCGGCCACCCCGGCTGCCTGAGAACGTCTTCGCCTTCCTCCCTTCCGCCGAGCCGCAAACACCCAACCGGCCCACGAGCCTGCCCGGCTCCCCGCAGCCCGAACCGGGTCCTTTCTGCTCCTGCCCCATGTTGTTAAGGCTCTCCCGCCGCCGTGAGTCCGGAGGCGCTACCTGGACCCCACGCCCACCGCTTTCCCAAGTCCCAAACTCCACTTACCTCGGCCGCGGAGCAGCAGGCGCTTTCTTCACCTACTCTACGCTTCCAGCTTGGCTCTACCGAGGTGTAGCTGCCAATCACGCAATCTCCGCCACAAGTCTAGTCAGACGGACCAATCAGTTGCTTTGTCGGACTGGGAGGCGGGCACTGACAATCCGGAGCGGAAGGCAACGCGATTATCTCCCGGGTCGGCAGCCGCCTTTTTTTGCAATTAATGTGCGCCTGCGCGAGGTCAGTTAGCCGTCCCTATGGTTTCGCGTGGACCTTGCTTTGTGTGTTGACTGTTCTGCCCTAGGAAGTACTCTTTTTTGCCACCTCATGCACTCTCGCTATCGCACTCTCCCTCGACCCACGTTAGCTGTGTGTGTGTATGTGTGTGTGTGTGCGCGGGTGTGCGTGTGTGAGAGCGAGTCAGAGAGAGACTTGAAAGAAGCTGTTGATTCTTAAGCGCTAGTTAGATATCTTAAGTCCTTTTATCTCATGCCGTTCACAGGGCAGGTCTGCCTAGGCGGACCTCACATCCGGGGTGTGTTTGAGTTTGTGTAGAGTGAGGGTTGGAGGTTATACAGCGTGTCTGATCCATGAAAATTTTATACTTAGCATCTCTTTAGTCTGATTCATTTGGACACTTTCTTTGAAATATTGAATATTCTACGTCACTCTGCATTTCAAACAATTCTACCCTGGAAATGTAATCATTAGATTTATAGTTAACAATATATTCAGCATGGTCACGATGTGGAAACATTATAAACTCTTCATATGTAGGGTAAGAAGCGACCTGTCAGTATTTCTGTTTGACTGTCCAAGAGGCCCTGGCTGATTGGCTGTCTCTTACACTCCCACATTGCTTTTAGTCATGATTTATCCCAAAGGTCACTAGGCACCTGAGCTCTGATGTACTTAATCCTGGTGCCCAGTTCCCGCTGGTAACCAATTATCTCTTTCAGCAAGGATATTATTTCACTTACTAAAGAAGAGATTGTTGAAAACACTTCGTGACAGTTCAAGGATATTTCAAAGCCTGTTGTCATGCTCTCAAGCAGTCTACATGCTATCTGGGAGATAAAAACACAAATTTAATATATACAAATAAATGTTGGGGCTCTCCCTGGTGGCACAAGTGGTTAAAGCGCATCACTGAAGCTGTCCCACAACCACTGTAGCACCAATTTGATTCCTAGCTAGGGAGGTGACCCACATGGCACATTAGACCTTTGCCTGTTGCTCCTCTCCCCCGTGTATATTGGTCAATCTGTCTCTGGTGAATCCTCTCACCTGTACCCCAGTTCTTGTATGCAAAAATAAATATTTAAAGAAAAAAAAAAACAAACATTTGTGTTGAAGGAGCCAAGACCTACCTAAATAAATGAACTCATAGCTGTTTCTCTAGAGCTGTTTCCGAGCTAAAGGGATAGGGACAGAGGAGAATGCTATTTCTGGCAAAGATCACTTGTTTCTTGTGAAATTTGTACAGAATAAATTTACTGTAATGCTAGTGCAGCTTGGTCAGCCCTCATGACTTGGAACTAGCTCTTTCCACAATCCAAAGGACCCCTAGCATTTAATTCATGCGATCATATGTTGGTTTCTACTCCTTAAAAGGAAGATATCTTAAAGTATCCCAAACAGGATGCTCAAACTACCTTTTTACCTTTCCAACTGTCTCTCTTTCATGTCTCTTCTTGCTAGGATGCCCTGGTATGACCTTGAGCATTTTTTGGGATCTGGATGAAAGCAAGTAGTTGAGTTGATGAACTTGGATCACTTCTGTGATGTTACTGATGACTTTCCAGATATCAAAACGGCTTCCAGGAATATTCTTAGCCATGCTCTGTTCTGTCTCACAAAAGACTTATGCCTACGTCCTCATGGCTCCTGGTACCAGAAGTATTTGGCTGGTAGAGAATTTAAATGGTAAACGCTCCCCTTTGCCCCCCAATTTTTGGAATATCTGCTCATCGAAGTCGTTCCCACCTTAGGTTCCTGCCTGTGTCTGCCTTTCAACAGCCTGAGATCAGGGCAGGTCCCCAACAGTAGAGAGTTTAAGCTAAATACAAACCTAATGTAAGGAAACTGCTTACCTTTAATTTTTTTAATTAAACAAGGTGCTTTACTTTTTCAGTAAATTTTATTTTAGAATAGCTTTCTATTTTTAAAGAAAAATTGCAAAGACAGTACAAAACTTACTGTATATATTTACCCAGTTTCCCCTGTGTCTCTGGTGAATCCTCTCACACAAACCCCTCCAGTACCTCTGGCCTACACCCCAGTTCTTGTATGCATAAATGAATGAAAATAAAATCTTTTTTTTTTAAAAAAGATGAGAGTGAGATGATTTGGTGATGGAAAGCCCACGGGGATTACAACTGAGATGGAAAAATGCACAAAATGATGTAAAAATAAACTATATTATTTAAAAAGAAAAAGTGATGAGATGTCCTTTAAAAGATATCCAGAATCCTCTGTCATTGTTCCTTAACTTCTGAGGGAAGCCAGCCAGCATGCTGTGAGCAGCCCTATGGAAAGGCTCATGTGGAAAGAAACAGAGAGGCCTCTGGCCAATTGTAAGTAAGCAAGAAACTGAGGCCCTCTGTTCATCAGCCTGTGTGGAATTAAATCCTGCTAATAGCTTTTTGAAAAAAGTTGGATAAAGATCCCAGCTGTATGATAATGATCACTGCTCCACTGACAGCTCAATTATAGCTTTGTGAGAAACCTTAAGCCAGAGACCCAGTAAGCCACTTACATACAAAACTGTGAAAAAAATAAGTGATTACTGTGTCAAGCTCCTAAATTTTGGAATAAATTGTTAGAAAACAAAAGATAGCTAATAGTGTTTCTATCTTTCCATAAGATCAATGGTTCTTAAAATTCATTTCGGAACTTACTTAAAAATACCTACGTCTGGCCCCATCCCCCAGAAATTTGGGTGGCTGTTTTATGTAGCTAAGTCTGGAACAAATGTAAAATGTTACTGGGCAATTGATTGATTCATTTTAGGGTTTTAGAAAAAATAAAACCTTTCTTTTTAGTGTCTGACCAGGAGCTCTTTACAAAAATTAAAGCCCCGCAAAATATTCCAATTATTCTAATAACCAGAACTTTATCTGCTGGATGGTGTATTTATTAAATAAAAAAGAATCAGACTCTCTCTTACTGTGTGGCTGTGGCCTTGAAAAAGTTCCTTAAACGTTATATGCCACCAGATTCTTTTCATATATTAAAGGACTACAATGCCATTATTTGGTCAAAGAGATTTATCCATTGTTACGTATACATTAGGCAATAGAAAGTTGACTTAAGACAGATTGTAAGCCAGTTTCCTTGAAGAGATTTAACAAAACATCAGATTCTCATTTGTTCATAATGGTAGAGTGTGAGTCTGTATTCAGTAGTAGAAAGAATCTGGGCTTCCAAATCAGAATACCCTTCTGCTATTTATCAGCTGTATAACCTTCAAGCAAGCCAGTAAGTTCAGTGAATTTCTATTTCTGATTTGCACAGTGGAGTAAACAGCCACACAAAGGGTAACCCTGAGGACCAATTTTATAACATCTGTAAGTGCACTGCCTGGCTTATCACAAAGACCCAATAAATAATAACCATGAAGGACATGCAACTTCTGTGTTTGTGATCCAGTGGATAAGTGAAGACAACTGTCCCTATGCCTGTTTCTCATTAGGTTTAATGACAACCCCATTTGTTAAGATAAGGTGAGTAAGTTGAATGATTTAAATCTTATAGTGTATTTCCTAGAAACAAAGATTCTTTCTCCAGCTGATTGCCAGTATATAGAAAATATAGCACACCAAATACATATAGTACTTAGTACTCAGGAAGTACTAAGCTAGAATTCAGGAACATTTAGCAAGTAAAAGATCAATGGTTAAAGCAGTAAGCTGCTTTATGAGAGATGTTTTAGTTTGTTTTTTTCTCCCTCTATAAGGGTTTTTTTTTTTTTTAAGATATGGTATAGTTGGATGTGTCTGAAAGAGGTTCTGCATTGGTTATTTTTAGATATGGTATAGCTGGATATGTCTGAAAGAGGTTCTGCATTGGTTAAAGCTGATTGAAAAGCCAACATACTTTCACCTGAGGTGAGAGTTAAAAGACGCAAATTACTACTTCATAGCAGGCCCACTGGCTTCAAAGCTCTGATCACTAATACAGTTAGATATTTTGGAGTGAGAATAACATTTAAATTTACCTCAGTCAAAACAATCTCAATGTAGAACATAGTTTTTACAATGAATATTTGCTATGTTGGGTGCAGGTGCTATCTCCTGTCTCCTTCCCC